GTTGCATTTCCTATTATTCAAGAGAAGCTATATTTGGAGAACAAGTGCTTGGTTCCGGAGAAGTTCGTGGAGATATTAGCAAAACACTTTGATGCTCAATCAAAACCTTCGCTCTCCAACAATCTCCACCAGCTGCTCACATCTAGTCGTTGACAAGATTTTATTTTCATGTAAATATAATTTTTCTCTTCAGGATCGCATTTTTTTATTTTCTCGTATGTATGATTCTTTTCATTTGACTTGAAAATGCGGCGGGTTAGTTTCTTTACAAATTTATAAATAAACCCAATCCTAGACATGTATTTATAAAAAAACCCAAGCACTATTTAAACATAGAAACACACCCAAAATCAACCCCAAAGTCAACTTTTTGGGTGTGTTTATAAAGTGTTTTGGGTGTTGGGTTTTTTTATAATTTCAACCTCCATTTTGGGTGTTTTAGTGAAACTCTCTTCTTTCTTTTCTATAACATCCTCGGAAAACATTTATTAAAAAAACACATTATGTCTATTAGCAAAGCGTGTCAATTTATTCCCTGCTTAATTTATTTTATCATGGATCAATAATAAAACACAGAAAGCCTTAAACCTCTTCCAATCTGCTGCTTTGATTCATGTGCCACATAAGATCCTCAACAGGATTCAAACAGTGGAGGGGCGTAGAGGTTGAGATTTTTAACAACGAAAACAAAAGTTGGTATTCAAAAACGTGACTTATAACAAGATTTTTTAAACTTAGCTACAACCTCTTTTGTCATAATATGAGTAAGCAACTAGGCAAACCCGAGGTTGCTCATGGTGCCAACAAGCTTCCAGCAATACCACTGGATTTAAACACTTTACGAAGAAGTGTCGATGGGTGTGTCGGACTGCGCTCCCCATTCAGTCCAAGATCCATCATAGACTGCTACTTCAGGCTTACCAAGTCGATGAAGACCCTGGATGAAACCACATGAATACGTATGAACAAAAGAGTTCCGAATTTTTTTAAAACAAAAATTCATGAATACAGGCTCAGCATTATAGCAGCATGGATGGTACAGCCATATGCTGCCAATCTGCATCTCTAGCTTTATTGTGTCTAAGAACATCAGAAATGTGCAGCAACAAACCCACAAAATCACAAAGCCTATCCTTTCATTCAAAGGACTAGTACAAGGGATTAATCTTGATCCAAGATTAAAACATTCACATAGTCATGATTTTAAACACTCACATTTTTTACTGTTTTTTATCAGACAATTTACAATTATGTCCTTTCATCTTACTAACATATAAATACTCACACACCGCATATATATGTCTTTGTGTGTACTTTTGGAGAGAGATAATTACCAGTGCAAGAATACAAGCAGTTACACCAGTTCCACATGAAGTAACAATAGGGCTTTCCAAAGAGATGCCTGCAGCATAAGGTTAGGATCATTAATAACTAACATTATTCAGACACCTTGTGACCAATTACAATGTGCTACTACAGAATATAACCCACAATTTCTGAAAGAAAAAAAACAGTATATATGTAAGAGGCGGGCGGGGGGAAGGAAACCATGACTTTTGTTGATCATTATATTATGTCTTAGTATAAAAATAGGTTCTAGAAAGGGAGTCGGGAAGTACTTACTATCTATTTGTTTTCTTATTACATTTATCCAAAACCTCATTGTAAACAGAAAAAATGGATTAATCCTATAACAAGAATGATCAGGTAACAATGGCTTAAAGAACTAAGTAGAAATGTACTAAAGTTTTTGAGATTTTTAACGGGAAATCATAATAAAAACAAAAAATAATTCTTACCTGCTTCATCAAATCTGTTTTTCAACTTATCTGCTGGTAAGAGTGTCTCTGAAGAATCCAACAACTGTAAAGAAACAAACACATTTGTTAATCAACAGTTATGCAGCATAGCTCTTTAACAGAAATCAACACAATTTTATTGCAATTTCAAAAAAATTAAGAAACAGATTATTAGGGAAAGGGGCGTGGAAATTGCCGACATTGCAAAGAAAGTTTTGATGCAACAGAATTGAGACATTTAGGCTAGCTTCCGATTTTAAATAATGTAGAATGGTTAATCATATACTTCACTCAAATTTTAAAACAATCAGACTAACCAGACTCCAAAAATATTATAGTTTAAACAGTTGGTATAGATCGCCTGCATCAAGCTCTGAAAATGTCAAAATGACTAAGTACACAATTTTTTGTTCATTATTTCAGATAGCTAACCGTCAATTACAAATACATATATTCAGAAAACCCTTTTAGTTTCTGAATTACTGAAAATGTTTATAAATGAATGTTAACTCAGATCTGAGGAATGAGACGATTATAGTTAAAACTAAAAACATACAAAAAATCCTCCACCATCCATTATGTATTCGCCTCAAGTTCTTCAGACACTCATTGATTGAATCATTACAAATCCTAGGGATGCATCATTAAGTCACCACTATAAGAGCTCAAACACAAGCATTTGATCTATTACCTGAGGAAAAGGGACACACTTGCTTCCAGGTACATGACCACTTCTTATCCCTTTCCGGGGCTCCAATGCAGTTCCATCA